AATTTTAGCAGCAGCTAAATATATGTATTCTGTCTTACTCGGAATGACACCAGCATGACCAGGTTGTGATACTCCAATGTTTTTTCTATGAATATCAAGAAATGTTCTTTTCTTTCCAGAATCTGAATTGGAATTGCATATTTAGCTGAACATTATGTTTCTCTTTTAATCATTTTCTGGCTGATCATGCATGATTATGTACAAATTTGAAAACAGCTAGGATAATTATATAGCTGTTGTTCAATCACTGTGTCTGTTTTTATGCTTCTAAAATAAATGCATGGGACATAATCATATATGTAAATTCTAAACTGCTGGTAGAGTGAACAAAATTTCATAAAGCTTTTTTTCAGAACATCCAACGGATAAGTTATCAGTATTAAGATGCCTAATGATCTGAAGTAGTCCTGTTGTCCTTGACCTTGATTTAAAGACTAAATAAACAAAATGTATTATCAAGGTGTGAGGACTACTACTTTTTTAATTTAAGGAATAATTTGGGTATATTAATTGCTTGAAAGAAATACATGCATGTTTTACAGTTTTCACCTCACTTTGACCTTTACAATTGATCATTTTAAGGTGACAGGATTTACCTGACCTTGACCTCATATTATATAATCAGTATAGTTTTTGTGACACATGAAATAAGATTTCCATATCAAAGGTTGTCTGTGGTAAATGAATAAACAGAAGTGTTCTATTTGTTTATGCCCATCTACTTTTATTGTAAAGAGAGAAAATAGAAAAAAATGGCAACAAGTTTAAACTCTGTTAAATAATATGCATATTTTATAGTTGTCTACAAGATAATCTTGATAATGTTGACGGACTGAAAAGAAATTTGAGTAAGTACACGCAGTAGTTGGATACTATTCATGATACGTATGGCGAAGTTAAGCCGGTCTCTGTGTTTAGGGTTCACAGATGCTATACCTCCCTTTTAGGTATAGTAACGTCCCCTTTCATACATATCAAGTATCTTCTACTATTTGTACGAACTGAGTGCGATTCCTCAGTGAGCCTAGCCTGGTGGCTCAATCTGACCAAGCTCGATGGCTAGGTCAAAAAAATCTTTAAGACTGAGCCTAGCCTGGTGGCTCAGTCTTCCCAATGAGCCTAGCTTGGTGGCTCAATCTGACCAAGCTCGATGGTTAGGTCAAAAAAATCTATAAGACTGAGCCTAGCCTGGTGGCTCAGTCTGACCAAGTGTGGTGGATAGGCCATTTTATGAACATTTTAGTTGGGAAATGAAGGATATTTTACTTAATTTTTTATCCATTTGGGAATGGGGGGCAAAGGGAATATTTACTTTCTATGACAAAATTTTTAAATTGTACAGGAGACTGTTTTTATCTTTTTTCAGTTAAAATTAAGCCCCCAAGTCAAATCATAGACTTAAAAACTGGTACTCCAAAAGGAAAAGAAAGGTGTCTTACTGTGGGCATATTTCTTGGTGAACTAGCACCTTAAAGTCCAGCTAACCCTCAGGCCGGCTGGCTAGTACAAGCAGACAGGTATTTTTTTAAATACCATTTGGCATTTTTAAACTTTGGCATTTTTTCATTTGGCTTTTTGCTTTAATATTAACTACTTGGATTTTATTACCATTTGGCATTTTTCATTTACATTTTTTTCATTTTTTGCAACATATTTTTTCATCAACACACCAAAAACACTTCAAAATTAAGAGTTAAATATACACTTTTGGCATTCATAATGATTATCAATCAAAATAGCATTCTATTTTCAAATTTACATTACACAATTTGGCTTTCTGTAACCTTGGCTGTTAATCTTTTGTACGAATGCTATGATGACCATTATGTGTAGAAAATAAAAGAACTACATTTTTCAAAAGTGGCTCAGTATCATATATCTAATATATTTCATGTCAGTTACTTTTAAATTTCGATCATATTTCTAAAATCATCTTCCATTTCTGGTACATCTTATAAAAATTGTATTCATCTACTAACCAACTTTTCTGATAGGGACTTAACACCAAGCAGAAGGGAAATAGGTGATAGGTGGCTAAGGTTGTCATGAAAGGGTGAAAGGGTGAGAAAAGGAGGGAGAAAAAGAGAATGATTGAGAGGGTGAGGGTATATGATTGAGAGTGGTATGTAGAGAGGGAGAGAAAGTGTGAGAGAACGTGATTTCATAGTAAGGACATGATGTACTGGTCTAATGGAAGTGCAGTTTTCTGTTTAGTCTCATGTAGTTTCTGTTTTCTTCAGTAATCTGTTAATTTTAAATCATGAAATTACTGCTGTCTAAAATTTCACAGGTTAACAGCCTTTCTTGTTACTGTTTATGTGCTGCTTATATATAAACATTGTAGCACTTCTCAGTGACTAGATAGAGTTGTAGCTTTTCATCAATTTTAGCATCAGTTTCTGTATATATAGAAATTTTCTTTTCTTTCAATAATCTGAACTGGAATTCATTTTTAGCTGTTAGGTTTCTTTTTATCCTTTTCAGGCTGATCATGATTTTGAGGATGATTTACAAATTTGAGGATATTAATATACTGTTGTTCAATCACTGACAACTGTCCACCAGCTTTCAAATGAAGTGGATGTAAGAAATTATAAGCCACTGTACAGTCTTCAAAATTGTGAAAAATACACTGTATAGTCAGCTATAAAAGGCCCCATCATGAAAAATGTGAAACAATTCAAACAAGAAAAATAACAGCCTATTTATTAAGTTTCATGTTTATGTTGAGCATGTTGGGGACAACCTGCCAGATGGAGAATGGTCCATCTCCTCTGAGAAAATAAAGATGAGCAAACAAAGACAACTAACAACACATGGTCAAGATCCCTGCCTGACTGTACAGGAGCACAATGTGTCGTGCTTAAACCAGATTTATGTGCATATAATCCTTCCATCTTTGTCTATCAAGATGGTATAATTGCAATGAATGGACACAAGGTGAAAAAATAATACAAAAGATTGGAAAATAGGTAGCCTCTGTGACAGTTCATTGCAATATCATTATTAAAATTTGGCTTTTAATTATAATTTTGGTTATAATTTTATATCTATTATATTTTCACATGATTATAACAAGATCTTTTTTATCTTTGCAGAAAGTATAAAATGGTTACTCATGTTAAGTGCACAGGAGACAAAGTAAAACACTTGGAAATGACAGATGACAGCAGATGTCAGACTTGAATGGAGAAGCAGTTTGGAAATTTTAGTCTGAGAAGAGCTAATACTGCTGAAAAAAACCAATCCAAAACATACAGGTAGGAGCTAGCTAGATTACAATAGAAATGTACAAATGTATTTACTCTCAACACAATACAAGATCCATCTTAATCCAGTAATATCATACCCATGATACTTTTTTGTATTTTCAAAAATATATGCTTTTGATAAGGATTTATTGTTCATATATATGAAAAAGACTGAAACCAGATGTTTCCATTACCTATTATGAGTAAAATACTGGCTAACAACTTATATATTAATCATTTATTAATTGATTGTTGTTTGCCTTATTTCCAGTAGCAAATATTTCATGCAAATTCAGGACGATCCGGCTACTTAGAGACCAGTTTTATTTTTGGGCCAAATAAACCATAAAATGTACCTTTTCCTGTGAAAATATTTAGCTTACATGTTTGTTTTGTTTTATTTTTGTCATTTAAGGTAACAGTGCAACCACTTGTGATAAGTTACTGCTGTCTTAAATTTCACAGGTTAACAGCCTTTCTTGTTACTGTTTATGTGCTGCTTATATATAAACATTGTAGCACTTCTCAGTGACTAGATAGAGTTGTAGCTTTTCATCAATTTTAGCAGCAGCTAAATATATGTATTCTGTCTTACTCGGAATGACACCAGCATGACCAGGTTGTGATACTCCAATGTTTTTTCTATGAATATCGAGAAATGTTCTTTTCTTTCCAGAATCTGAATTGGAATTGCATATTTAGCTGAACATTATGTTTCTCTTTTAATCATTTTCTGGCTGATCATGCATGATTATGTACAAATTTGAAAACAGCTAGGATAATTATATAGCTGTTGTTCAATCACTGTGTCTGTTTTTATGCTTCTAAAATAAATGCATGGGACATAATCATATATGTAAATTCTAAACTGCTGGTAGAGTGAACAAAATTTCATAAAGCTTTTTTTCAGAACATCCAACGGATAAGTTATCAGTATTAAGATGCCTTATGATCTGAAGTAGTCCTGTTGTCCTTGACCTTGATTTAAAGACTAAATAAACAAAATGTATTATCAAGGTGTGAGGACTACTACTTTTTTAATTTAAGGAATAATTTGGGTATATTAATTGCTTGAAAGAAATACATGCATGTTTTACAGTTTTCACCTCACTTTGACCTTTACAATTGATCATTTTAAGGTGACAGGATTTACCTGACCTTGACCTCATATTATATAATCAGTATAGTTTTTGTGACACATGAAATAAGATTTCCATATCAAAGGTTGTCTGTGGTAAATGAATAAACAGAAGTGTTCTATTTGTTTATGCCCATCTACTTTTATTGTAAAGAGAGAAAATAGAAAAAAATGGCAACAAGTTTAAACTCTGTTAAATAATATGCATATTTTATAGTTGTCTACAAGATAATCTTGATAATGTTGACGGACTGAAAAGAAATTTGAGTAAGTACACGCAGTAGTTGGATACTATTCATGATACGTATGGCGAAGTTAAGCCGGTCTCTGTGTTTAGGGTTCACAGATGCTATACCTCCCTTTTAGGTATAGTAACGTCCCCTTTCATACATATCAAGTATTTTCTACTATTTGTACGAACTGAGTGCGATTCCTCAGTGAGCCTAGCCTGGTGGCTCAATCTGACCAAGCTCGATGGCTAGGTCAAAAAAATCTTTAAGACTGAGCCTAGCCTGGTGGCTCAGTCTTCCCAATGAGCCTAGCTTGGTGGCTCAATCTGACCAAGCTCGATGGTTAGGTCAAAAAAATCTTTAAAACTGAGCCTAGCCTGGTGGCTCAGTCTGACCAAGTGTGGTGGATAGGCCATTTTATGAACATTTTAGTTGGGAAATGAAGGATATTTTACTTAATTTTTTATCCATTTGGGAATGGGGGGCAAAGGGAATATTTACTTTCTATGACAAAATTTTTAAATTGTACAGGAGACTGTTTTTATCTTTTTTCAGTTAAAATTAAGCCCCCAAGTCAAATCATAGACTTAAAAACTGGTACTCCAAAAGGAAAAGAAAGGTGTCTTACTGTGGGCATATTTCTTGGTGAACTAGCACCTTAAAGTCCAGCTAACCCTCAGGCCGGCTGGCTAGTACAAGCAGACAGGTATTTTTTTTAAATACCATTTGGCATTTTTAAACTTTGGCATTTTTTCATTTGGCTTTTTGCTTTAATATTAACTACTTGGATTTTATTACCATTTGGCATTTTTCATTTACATTTTTTTCATTTTTTGCAACATATTTTTTCATCAACACACCAAAAACACTTCAAAATTAAGAGTTAAATATACACTTTTGGCATTCATAATGATTATCAATCAAAATAGCATTCTATTTTCAAATTTACATTACACAATTTGGCTTTCTGTAACCTTGGCTGTTAATCTTTTGTACGAATGCTATGATGACCATTATGTGTAGAAAATAAAAGAACTACATTTTTCAAAAGTGGCTCAGTATCATATATCTAATATATTTCATGTCAGTTACTTTTAAATTTCGATCATATTTCTAAAATCATCTTCCATTTCTGGTACATCTTATAAAAATTGTATTCATCTACTAACCAACTTTTCTGATAGGGACTTAACACCAAGCAGAAGGGAAATAGGTGATAGGTGGCTAAGGTTGTCATGAAAGGGTGAAAGGGTGAGAAAAGGAGGGAGAAAAAGAGAATGATTGAGAGGGTGAGGGTATATGATTGAGAGTGGTATGTAGAGAGGGAGAGAAAGTGTGAGAGAACGTGATTTCATAGTAAGGACATGATGTACTGGTCTAATGGAAGTGCAGTTTTCTGTTTAGTCTCATGTAGTTTCTGTTTTCTTCAGTAATCTGTTAATTTTAAATCATGAAATTACTGCTGTCTAAAATTTCACAGGTTAACAGCCTTTCTTGTTACTGTTTATGTGCTGCTTATATATAAACATTGTAGCACTTCTCAGTGACTAGATAGAGTTGTAGATTTTCATCAATTTTAGCATCAGTTTCTGTATATATAGAAATTTTCTTTTCTTTCAATAATCTGAACTGGAATTCATTTTTAGCTGTTAGGTTTCTTTTTATCCTTTTCAGGCTGATCATGATTTTGAGGATGATTTACAAATTTGAGGATATTAATATACTGTTGTTCAATCACTGACAACTGTCCACCAGCTTTCAAATGAAGTGGATGTAAGAAATTATAAGCCACTGTACAGTCTTCAAAATTGTGAAAAATACACTGTATAGTCAGCTATAAAAGGCCCCATCATGAAAAATGTGAAACAATTCAAACAAGAAAAATAACAGCCTATTTATTAAGTTTCATGTTTATGTTGAGCATGTTGGGGACAACCTGCCAGATGGAGAATGGTCCATCTCCTCTGAGAAAATAAAGATGAGCAAACAAAGACAACTAACAACACATGGTCAAGATCCCTGCCTGACTGTACAGGAGCACAATGTGTCGTGCTTAAACCAGATTTATGTGCATATAATCCTTCCATCTTTGTCTATCAAGATGGTATAATTGCAATGAATGGACACAAGGTGAAAAAATAATACAATAGATTGGAAAATAGGTAGCCTCTGTGACAGTTCATTGCAATATCATTATTAAAATTTGGCTTTTAATTATAATTTTGGTTATAATTTTATATCTATTTTTCATGTTTATGTTGAGCATGTTAGGAACAACCTGCCAGATGGAGAATGGTCCATCTCCTCTGAGAAAATAAAGATGAGCAAACAAAGACAACTAACAACACATGGTCAAGATCCCTGCCTGACTGTACAGGAGCACAATGTGTCGTGCTTAAACCAGATTTATGTGCATATGATCCTTCCATCTTTGTCTATCAAGATGGTATAATTGCAATGAATGGACACAAGGTGAAAAAATAATACAAAAGATTGGAAAATAGGTAGCCTCTGTGACAGTTCATTGCAATATCATTATTAAAATTTGGCTTTTAATTATAATTTTGGTTATAATTTTATATCTATTATATTTTCACATGATTATAACAAGATTTTTTTTATCTTTGCAGAAAGTATAAAATGGTTACTCATGTTAAGTGCACAGGAGACAAAGTAAAACACTTGGAAATGACAGATGACAGCAGATGTCGGACTTGAATGGAGAAGCAGTTTGGAAATTTTAGTCTGAGAAGAGCTAATACTGCTGAAAAAAACCAATCCAAAACATACAGGTAGGAGCTAGCTAGATTACAATAGAAATGTACAAATGTATTTACTCTCAACACAATACAAGATCCATCTTAATCCAGTAATATCATTTCCATGATACTTTTTTGTATTTTCAAAAATATATGCTTTTGATAAGGATTTTTTGTTCATATATATGAAAATGACTGAAACCAGATGTTTCCATTACCTATTATGAGTAAAATACTGGCTAACAACTTATATATTAATCATTTATTAATTGATTGTTGTTTGCCTTATTTCCAGTAGCAAATATTTCATGCAAATTCAGGACGATCCGGCTACTTAGAGACCAGTTTTATTTTTGGGCCAAATAAACCATAAAATGTACCTTTTCCTGTGAAAATATTTAGTTTACATGTTTGTTTTGTTTTATTTTTGTCATTAAACAGTGCAACCACTTGTGATAAGTTACTGCTGTCTTAAATTTCACAGGTTAACAGCCTTTCTTGTTACTGTTTATGTGCTGCTTATATATAAACATTGTAGCACTTCTCAGTGACTAGATAGAGTTGTAGCTTTTCATCAATTTTAGCAGCAGCTAAATATATGTATTCTGTCTTACTCGGAATGACACCAGCATGACCAGGTTGTGATACTCCAATGTTTTTTCTATGAATATCGAGAAATGTTCTTTTCTTTCCAGAATCTGAATTGGAATTGCATATTTAGCTGAACATTATGTTTCTCTTTTAATCATTTTCTGGCTGATCATGCATGATTATGTACAAATTTGAAAACAGCTAGGATAATTATATAGCTGTTGTTCAATCACTGTGTCTGTTTTTATGCTTCTAAAACAAATGCATGGGACATAATCATATATGTAAATTCTAAACTGTTGGTAGAGTGAACAAAATTTCATAAAGCTTTTTTTCAGAACATCCAACGGATAAGTTATCAGTATTAAGATGCCTAATGATCTGAAGTAGTCCTGTTGTCCTTGACCTTGATTTAAAGACTAAATAAACAAAATGTATTATCAAGGTGTGAGGACTACTACTTTTTTAATTTAAGGAATAATTTGGGTATATTAATTGCTTGAAAGAAATACATGCATGTTTTACAGTTTTCACCTCATTTTGACCTTTACAATTGATCATTTTAAGGTGACAGGATTTACCTGACCTTGACCTCATATTATATAATCAGTATAGTTTTTGTGACACATGAAATAAGATTTCCATATCAAAGGTTGTCTGTGGTAAATGAATAAACAGAAGTGTTCTATTTGTTTATGCCCATCTACTTTTATTGTAAAGAGAGAAAATAGAAAAAATGGCAACAAGTTTAAACTCTGTTAAATAATATGCATATTTTATAGTTGTCTACAAGATAATCTTGATAATGTTGACGGACTGAAAATAAATTTGAGTAAGTACACGCAGTAGTTGGATACTATTTATGATACGTATGGCGAAGTTAAGCCGGTCTCTGTGTTTAGGGTTCACAGATGCTATACCTCCCTTTTAGGTATAGTAACGTCCCCTTTCATACATATCAAGTATCTTCTACTATTTGTACGAACTGAGTGCGATTCCTCAGTGAGCCTAGCCTGGTGGCTCAATCTGACCAAGCTCGATGGCTAGGTCAAAAAAATCTTTAAGACTGAGCCTAGCCTGGTGGCTCAGTCTTCCCAATGAGCCTAGCTTGGTTGCTCAATCTGACCAAGCTCGATGGCTAGGTCAAAAAAATCTTTAAGACTGAGCCTAGCCTGGTGGCTCAGTCTTCCCAATGAGCCTAGCTTGGTGGCTCAATCTGACCAAGTGTGGTGGATAGGCCATTTTATGAACATTTTAGTTGGGAAATGAAGCATATTTTACTTAATTTTTTATCCATTTGGGAATGGGGGGCAAAGGGAATATTTACTTTCTATGACAAAATTTTTAAATTGTACAGGAGACTGTTTTTATCTTTTTTCAGTTAAAATTAAGCCCCCAAGTCAAATCATAGACTTAAAAACTGGTACTCCAAAAGGAAAAGAAAGGTGTCTTACTGTGGGCATTTGTCTTGGTGAACTAGCACCTTAAAGTCCAGCTAACCCACAGGCCGGCTGGCTAGTACAAGCAGACAGGTATTTTTTTTAAATACCATTTGGCATTTTTAAACTTTGGCAGTTTTTCATTTGGCTTTTTGCTTTAAATATTAACTACTTGGATTTTATTACCATTTGGCATTTTTCATTTACATTTTTTTCATTTTTTGCAACATATTTTTTCATCAACACACCAAAAACACTTTAAAATTAAGAGTTAAATATACACTTTTGGCATTCATAATGATTATCAATCAAAATAGCATTCTATTTTCAAATTTACATTACACAATTTGGCTTTCTGTAACCTTGGCTGTTAATCTTTTGTACGAATGCTATGATGACCATTATGTGTAGAAAATAAAAGAACTACATTTTTCAAAAGTGGCTCAGTATCATATATCTAATATATTTCATGTCAGTTACTTTTAAATTTCGATCATTTTTGTAAAATTATCTTCCATTTCTGGTACATCTTATAAAAATTGTATTCATCTACTAACCAACTTTTCTGATAGGGACTTAACACCAAGCAGAAGGGGAATAGGTGATAGATGGCTAAGGTTGTCATGAAAGGGTGAAAGGGTGAGAAAAGGAGGGAGAAAAAGAGAATGATTGAGAGGGTGAGGGTATATGATTGAGAGTGGTATGTAGAGAGGGAGAGAAAGTGTGAGAGAACGTGATTTCATAGTAAGGACATGATGTACTGGTCTAATGGAAGTGCAGTTTTCTGTTTAGTCTCATGTAGTTTCTGTTTTCTTCAGTAATCTGTTAAT